GTCACTGATTAAAAAAACAATATCTCAACAGAAATGTAAAAAACTATTAATTTCCGTTTTGTGACATTATCATTAAAAACTTTACTGTGTTTTGTTTGGATTCTTTGTGATACAACAACACAATATACAGCATAATTGAAATGTGGAAGGAATTATAGACATTTTAAAATATTTTAGCAAATAAATGAAAAATTATGTGCTTTTTCACCAGATCCATTTATTATAATACTATAAATAAGATCCATTTATCCAAAAACTTTGAAAAGTCCTTATGTCACACTAATAGTGGCCCAGTCATTTTAATTCATAAACTACCTATTAAGTTTTGCAGTTTTAATGTTGCAAAAATGTAAGATATATTTAGCAGACATAACTTTAACAGCTATTGTAATTTTTGGTCATGTTGCTTTATAAGAAAAAAATGTCATTTCTCTCATTAGAACCCTAAACTATAAAATAAATCATGTACTTACAAGCTGACAAAAAGTAGAAAACAAAGAGACATCTTCACGCTTTAATCTGACATCCTACCTTTTTGTCCGCTTTGTCTTTCAGAGTCATGCATTTTATTCAAACATTAACAAAACGGTCACACATTTTACTACCAGAGCTGCACCATCCCACACCTCGATTACGGTTAGCACATGGAAAGAAAAACACTGAGTGCTACAGCTCGATGCCAGACTAATACGAATCCTGACAGGCACCAAAAGAGAGCTGGAAAATTTCCTCCATGTTCTCTGTCACACTCAACTTTGGTGGGCGACGCTCAGAAAAGTCCACCTGACAAATGACTTCCTCATTTACCTTAAATTGTGAGGTTTATGCACATTTATATGTGTCACACTCCAACATAAGCAAGATGATGACAGGTTAAACTAAATGGATGTGCTAAAAGCTACCATCAGGTTAATCCCTTCAAATTAGCTTCACAGCATTTCATGAAAATAAAAAAATAAAAACGCTCCCTCTAGTTGAACTGTAAATGGGAGAAATAGAATATGTGACTTGATAAAAATGAACCTACAACGATTTCTGTTTTTATAGAGATCAAAAAGTTATTATTCTGCCATGAGGTAGATTTCATTTCATTTCCTAATTTAAGACTAGAAAAAAAATACATTTAAGCTTGAAGTTATTCCTACCCTGCATACACTTTTTAACAGATTTAACAGGTTTGAGTATTTTTAAATTTTTGTAAGCCGCCCTGTTAAGGTCCCCACTTTATTCTGGTAGAGGATCGGTGGAATGAGTTAAAGATAAGGGTTATGGTAAAGAGGCCTTCCAAAATCAAATACTTTAAACACATTAACAAAGATCATTCATCAAAATACCAGCAAAGTTATAAGAACAGTTCGACTGCTGGCAATAAAGATTTTCTTATTGTTTACTAAGTTTAAATAGTTTTGTTCTTTTTATCTTTTAGAGATTTGATTTTTTTTTTATATTTTTAATGATCTACTGAGAGATGCCAGTCTCAGTTCTCATCAGAAACAAGCTTTGTTGTTTGAAAAAAAAGTTAAAGTCAAAATTACCTGATATATGAATGCTGTTGGGTTCATATGTTTGCATCAGGAATGGAATGGTGTAGATAAAGAACAAACCAAAACAGTTTCCCTATCAGCAGATGTGAATCCTCAAGAGGATTAATGATAAATATTTTAGGAAACAGTGGGTCCACCAAGGTGAGACCAACAAACGCAGTAAGCACCAGTACCTGTTTGGTATCAAGCCTTTTGACAGACGGTCTTACACAAAGAATATTCTGTAAGCATGATTTATTGAGTAAAAAATAAGCCTCAAAAAGTTATAACCATTTCATCCAGCCATGCAAGGTCATTGCATCCCTATTTGGGGGGTTCTGATGAATAACTTTTAATTCCAACATTTCAGGTGATTTTTTTCCTGCATGTAGTTACTTATCATTTCAATCTACAGAACATTAGTTTTTATGCAATGGGGATGTTTTTTGTTATAATCCTAACTATCAGGGTGTGCTAAAGTAACCTTTCTAAAAAAAATTGGGAGATATGTTTTGGTTTTGGTATGTCCACCCATGAGGGGACACACCAAAACCAACCAAGCCCCTTATCCCCCAGCTGGCCAATTAGAAACATTGGAGGTTCCCCGGTTAGAACCAAAGATAATGAATAGCCTCACCAAGAAAGGCGTTTGATGATTAAACAAAGAACCTAGAAAAAATGGAAATCTTCTCAGCAACTCCAAACCGCAGGTGCTGAAACTTCCCACCTGACTGAGTGACGCAGTGTTTGAACAGCTGGTCTGGGTTAGGATGACCACAGCTGCTAGGTGAATTTATTGTGTCTACTTAAGAAAATACATTCTGTAATTACTTGTGGTTTTAATCCATAAATTCACTTGAACAATTCTTCCTATTTATGTCTTGATTTTCTACAGCTCACACAAAACAGAGGAAGTAAGAGCTGCTTCATTAAGTATGTGTTTATGCTGTTTAGCCCACATAATTACCCAGGGAAAAAGTTTAGAGCTAATGTAGAAACTGGATAATAGATTGAAATTGGTTGAGAAAATGTAGGTGTTTTCCTTTTTATTTCAAAACAGAACTGGTAAGCAATGCATTTGTTGCTGTGTGTGTGTGTGTGGGGGGGGGGGGGGGGGGGGGGGGGGGGATTACATAAAACTTTAATTTCACAAAGTAAGACATATAAAAAAGTGATGTTAGGTAAGACTTTTGGAATACATTCAACTTAAAAACTTCATTGCCTTGCCTCATATGGCAAGCAATCACAAGGCTACGTTCATGAAAATAAAGAAAAGTAAAAAAAAACTTTTGGAAACTTTTAGAATTAGGGAAAAAATTTGAAAAATCTTCCCCAGAAGGAATCTTACTAATTTATGTTAGTTTGAATAACAGGGGAACCTCCATGGTGGTATTCTGTGAGATTTGCAATAAAGACACTAACGCTTTTAGGTAAACAATTTTTGCCTTAACATCTATAGCTGTTTCATCATACTCTAAATAAAACTGAAAAAGAATTGAGACGTGTTTGAATACATATATATTTACTCGAGATCAATTAGAAATGCATTAAGACCTAAAGAATGTATCCTTCTTGAAATAAATGATGCTTTTTGAAGATTAAAAAAAACTTTCTGGAACAATCCTGACATTACTTATGTTTTTATGGCATTATGGCAACGCATAAACCACATGTCGCATGATGATGTATTTATTCCAGTAAATTTGGTCTATAGACACATTTTGGACTGAATCTCTAGGACGCAGAAACCATATCCTATGTAACTGTTTGATGGCTGAATGTACCTATGCTGTCTATTACTAAATTTATTGTTTGCACATAAGAAATGAACATAGGACATTTAGGAATCTGGATATTGTACCACTGCTGAGCCAGACTGTTGCAGGTTTATAATTATTTTCGTTATTTCTTTAGAAAACAGCGTCTTAGGGTTTTTTTTTCTTTAAAATGCATGGATGTTCCTTAATGTATTTTTATAAATATTTACCTATTGATATATATTATAGATATATAATGTAACTTTTAAGAATGCAAAAAATTATTTGAGAACTTTTATTCCGGCATTTAGCAAACAACAATAATTCTAGTATTTGTAATTTATGTAAAGGAATTTATTGTGATTGTGTATTTCTACAGTGTGTTGAAAATCCATTAAAGAATATCTATTCTACTCAGTTGCTTTTTTTAAAGACTTTAGTTTTTTTTTTTTTTTATTAAGAGTTTATCTTTGTTTTTTCCATACTTCTTCATCTGTGTAACTACAGCACAAAAATGATCCTTTATCGTATGCCTCTGTAGGTGATGAAGCTAAGATCTCTAAAAGAATTGAAAACAAGTACGTTGGCTGAATCCTTTGTAACTTCCTTACACCTTTTAAAAAATGCTTGTTTGCTTTTACAACTGGCTCCGCAGGCAGCTGGGGAGGGGCAGTGCAGATGGATTTGGGCTTCGTTATTTTTCTCTGCCTTTGTAACAGCTCATTTAAAATCACGAGGGCCTGAAGTCCAAGACAGATGGAGCCTACTTAAGAAAGAGTCAGTGTCTAATTCAAGTGAAATACTTCCCAATGTGAAGTAACTCTACACCGTGGTGAACTTGTTTCTAGCTTGTTCAAGAAAAAGTTTTGGAGATCAGTTGACTGTTGGTGGGTATATGTTGCATTAAACATAAAAAAAAATTCCTGGACATGATTTTGGATAGACCTTTAAAAGTAATGCAGTACCATTTCATATTTTCAGATTTGAAGTGTGCATAAGAAACATTGGATATCGATTGAACCTCACCGGCTTCACAAATTAAGCTTACTGTGAAATTGCTTAAGCTTGGTTTGAAAGTATTCATGCAGTCATATATCAAATGCTCACAGCTCACCTTATCTACACTGCTCATATACTTTCACATGGAGCCTCGCCCGTTCACATCAAAAGAAATGCTTTGAAACCCTTTAAGCTCCCTCTGAAGGGTCACATATAGATCCTCCTGAAAATAAACAGCTGGGTCATAGAAGCTATTGTGGGAAAAGCAAGTTGATACGATGATTCAAACAGTCCGTAGGAGTTGTTTATTCAGATCTATCCAGAATGCCACTTTGTTTTTTGTTATAAAGAAAATCATTACAATGTTGATTGATTGCTTTATTTGCCTTCATGTAGCAGAATATGAAGAAATAATCAAAGTAGAATGAATCGCAGAGGTAATTTTGCTTTATTAAAAAACAAAAAGGTTTATCACGCAAGGCAACATAGAGGGGGAAAAAAATGCAAACTGCTATGAACAGACCACAACCCCCCCCCCCCAAAAAAACTTTACCTCCGTTCACCCACCCACCCACTGGCAGCAAAGGGGAGGGGGGGGTCTCATTATAACCAAATCAAAGGAGCAGGAGAACAAGACTCGCATTGTTCTGATAGTGTTTACTTACACTAAAAACATTAAAACTGGACAAGCTGACTGTACAGCAGAAGACGGACAGTTTGATTTTTCACATGATTCCAAACACGGAACCTCACAGTTGGGTTTTTTTTTTTTTTCCGTCTTTACATTTAGTCGACAGCACTTTTAACATAACAGGAAGGTTCGTGACTATGCAACACATTGAACAGATTGTTTTAAGACAGGCTATACAAGTTGAAATGGGCACTTTCTAGAGGGAAAATAAAGGGTCCTCATCCATGTTCTTTTTTTTTTCCTTAGGTAACATCAACCCTGTGTGCTGAGGTAAGCACGCCGCAGGGGAATACGAAGGAAGCGATTCCCTTTAAAAAAAATAGGAGTCCCTTAACCATATCCCCACTCACTTTGTAATTCGTCTTGACAGTAAATCAATTCTCGAGCCTGGCCCCTTGGACTCCTCCGACACTAGGTCCTCCTCTCTCAGCATTCCTGCACACATGAATCAACTCCTGGCTTCTTAAAGGCATTTCCTGCCCGACCCTCTCTCTTTCTCCCTGTCTGACTCCTCTGCTGAAAGCTAGGCAGGAACTCCGTTAAGCTTTGATTTTGGACCCTGAGAGGAGGAGGAGGAGGGAAGGGAGAAGAGGAGAAGAACTCGACCCAAAGCAGGGACCTGGCTCTTGGATCGCGCCGAGAAGGGGAAGGGATGGAGAGCAGGAGAGGGTTAAGAAGATGCCAGCACACCCAAGCGGGGATTCAGTGCTTTATCATTTCAAATGCAATAAAAGTTTCTGTCATGTTAGGGTTGAAGTTGAAGTGTTTCTTTCCAAGACAGATTTTCCACATTTCCGGTGTGAGAACACTGAACGGTGAATGCTGTCCCAGGTTTTCATGAAAAAACAAAAACAATTCGGTTTCCATAACAAAAGCAAAGACTGAAAATATTTGAATATTTTATGGAAAAATGTACAGAAAAGAACATAGCTCATCGAAGCTGTACACCTGCTAAAGCTTCCCTCTACAAATCACCGTTGATGCTAAATCCACAGTTTATGTACATACAGGTTAGTCAGTTCAGCAGACTCAGGGTGACCAAAGCGGCTATTAAAAAGAAAGATCTAAATCGTCTTCATATTTACAACCAAGAAAACGTACATATTTTACAGGGATCACAACACGAAGACCACAAACAGAGAGTCTTAACAGTATAGGATGGGTGAGGCTGCAGCTGAGTGAGAAGAGGTCACGTGTTGAGACAGAGCTGGTCTACTGTGCGATGTCTGACGTGCGTGCATGAGTGTATGTGTAGACGTTTGTGATCGTTTGTGAGCGGGTGATCTCATCCTCATCCCTCAGATCATGGCTCTTATCACCAGCCTCCCTTTGACCTGGTGGAGATAGATGCTCTGTTCGGACTCCAGGCGCCGATTAGTCAGGGCCTCATCCTCGCTATCAGCTGGCTCCTCTTTGACCTTGATGACCCCACAATGAGCATCAGGGAGCTCGCTGCTGGAGCTGCCGCTGCTGCTAAGCGTGTGCTTCCGAATGACTCCTCCAGGGGGCAGCCTGTCCTCCTGCATGCTCTCTATCTCCTCTTTGGGCTGCTGCTCTTCCTGCTCCTCCTCTGATTCCTGCAGGTGTGCGTTGGGCTGACGCAACTGCTCAATGGACTTGGATAACAGCTGCAAAACACATTATTTCAATGTTAATGTTAAAATCCTGCATTAACAAACATTTTCACAAATTTTAAAGCAAGATTTCTTTCTAAACTAAATTGAAAATCATTCTTTCACATCTTTGACACAACATGAATAGCAAATGAATAACTTTTTTCATTTGCTGACATTAAAACTACAATTGTCAATATGTTTCATTCAGATGTTGAAAGTAACAGCAAGGATAACAGTCAAGATATAGTTTTATTTAAATTTTTCCTAAGTTTGTGACATCTATTTGTATAGCATATATTTTCTCCAACACGCTTAAAGACAATCCACTCTGTGCAAATGTTTCAGATGTCACCTAAATGGTAAATAATCAGAAATGTAGATTAATACTAGTCCCTGGCTTATTACAGTAAGTACTGGTCAGAATAAACAGGTTAGACTGGGTGAAAGTTTCTTAATGTTTGTTTGTTTTTTTTCTAAAGCATTAGATTTCACAATCACTGAAACATTTTCCCCCATGGTGTTGAAGATTTAACAGATTTTCCTTCATTAATATAAGCTATTGTTCGAGTGAGGTAACTATGTCTGAACGTCAAAAACCCTTTCAGGAAAATAATGAGAGGTCTGAGTTTCAGAGGTCAAGTTGGGGTTTTTATTTAACCCTTTATAGGGCATTCAGTGAAAGACTTTAAACATCTAAATTTCAAGCAAAGAGTACACTGCACAAAACTGAAATCTAAGTAAGGCAGTGTTTCTTAAAATAAGTGCAATAATAAGTGATTTTTTTCTTGAACTGAGCAGGTAAGTCAGATACTTTGCAGATGGAATAAGAAAATTTACATTTAAAGTAAGGGAGGAAAAATGCAGTCTCCTATTTAAAGTGCATGATATCAAATAATCTGATTTTAAGGTGTAACAATGCTCCTTCAACTGGGAGAGTTTCTTATTTACCTACTCAAATTAAGGGTAAATACACTTATTTTAAGACATTTTCACAAATTTATAGATCATTTTTGTAGTGTGTTATTGGAATGCAGCACAAGACCTTATTACGTTTGTAACTTTCAAAAAATATGCATATTTTGATGGCATAAATGAATGTTAATGTAATAACAAGAAACGCCAGCTTCCCCGTATATATTTAGAAAAATAACAAAAGTGCTTCTATAAGAAATTCATGAAAAACAGAGTAAAAGAAATGGCACTCTATGTGCAAGTGATCAAAATGGTAACTTGCCCTATAAAGGGTTGAAAGGTTATAAGCTTAAGATAAATAAAAAACAAAACTCTTGGAAAATATACACCTTTAAACCTGGCTTTTTTATAGTTTTATGAAAATTAAGCTGCATTTTATCATAACTATGATCAATTATGAAAGCAAGCAATAGTATTTGCACTTGTCAATGAGTTTGCATAGATCTCATTTATTTATTTTATTTTATATAAATTGGATGCTTTTGTCTTCTAAAGAGTCCTGGGAAGACATTTGTTCTTAATTGCTTTTCAATTACACAAAATGTGACTGAATTATTGTGGGAGTATCTACCCACAAGAGGGCTCCAAAACCAGGTTCTGTTTTTGCAGACAGCTGGTAACCAACAGCATTACTATCTACAGAATCTGGGCCTTTTATAAATACCCTTTCATCAATAAGAATTAGCCTCTTTAACATTGCATTAGTGGAAACCTTTAACAACTCATCCTAAAATCCCTAAGCTCCTGTAAATTTCCATTACAGTTCTTCACCGGTGCCAATGTTGCTTGCGTTGAAAAAATAGAAGCAACTGAAGGATGTTTAAAAACAACCGTAGAAAAGCCACTGCTGGGAAATTAATTAGGGCAATGTTTCAGAGCTGCCTCTCAATAAACACTAAAGGCTCATCCCTGATTAGTGGCCATTTATAACCTCCACTTAAAGAGGATTTACTTGCAATCTCATTGGCCTGAGTGATCAGAGCGGCCTCGTTGACATGGTTCCAGAGGCGCTGCTGCTGCTACTATTTTCAAATGACTCGGCTTCACAGAAAGCGTTTGAAATTCACACAATTGTGCTTTTAATGCACAAAGAAATTGTGACATGTTATCGTGCTGCTCCACGAGAGCTTGTCATTATTTTTAGCTGTGAGTTCCTCAGTGGGTCCCATCACTCTGTCAGGACCCGATGCTGGGACACATCAGTGCGTATGCTCACACAATGCAGCCTTTCACACAGCGGCCACCTCACACCAGAATAATGACAGTCTGTGTAAAGCCAGGTCACCACGGCCAACTCACAGAAACACAAATATTGCCACAGAGGAACAAAATGCATTCTGGGTTTTTTTTCTTTTTTTTTGTCATGGGAACTAAGATGAATTCAATTTCCCTGCTTAAGCATGTGAGTAAAACAGCCACCATGAGCTATAATAACAGAATTACTGCAGGGGAAGGATTTCTTCCTCATCTGAATTTCGGCAGAAGTCTTTGCTTTTCACAAATAACAGCACAGACTTATAAAAGCCTAAAAATAAAGCCGCACTTGTGTCCTTTAAAGCAATGAAGTCAAACTTCCTACCATAAAAAAACTACCTCATGAGAACCAAAATAAAAAAGGGGAACACTAAACATTGAGAGCAGCACTGATGGAGTCTTGACCCTTGATGTTTTACCTTATTTATGTGGACCTGCTGCTGGTACTGTTTCTGTTTCTCCAGGAAATGCTGGTGCTGCTGCTGAATGACCAGTTGGGCCAAAGTGTTCTGAGGCAGAGGCGCCGACTGGGTTCTGTTCAGGGGTCTGTGTTTTGGTAGTTTAGGGCGACTGCTGGGAGGACGATCCTTCATAACCAGCGGGGATTGAGTGTGGGAGGACATGGAGCCTTGACCTTGCCAGAGAAGAAAAGGACCTTAGTAAAATTCTTCTAAAATCATGCTGTAAATAAAAGGTACATCTTAATAAACAAAAGGACTCGACAATCCAGTTTCTAAGAGAATCAGACCACATTTTACAGAATAGAAAATGTCATATAGAATTGCTCTATGTGCTACACAATCGTGACTCTATCAACCATGTAGTGTCAGCTACAAAAGTTAATTGGAATAGAGGCTAAGATATTTTAGCGATGCAGTCATAGAAATTTGAGTGGAAGGAAAAAGTGTGTTTCTGGGATCAAAGGATTTAATAGAAAAAGCTACTGAGTTAAACATCTAAAGATGCACGGACCACCACAGAGGTATTTGGTCTGCAACCACTTGCTCGTCTTTATTCTATTCGAATTTATTATAATTCATCTTTTTATTTTAGCTTTTTTTAATCATTGTGTTCAACAAAGCTATTAGACACAAAAGCAAGCATTCTAAACTCTTAAATGAAAGGTAGCAGAAAACAGAGCCACCTTATGTTATCTGCCCAGTTTACCTAAGGCAAAGAACTGCAGTTACAAAAAAGGATTAACAACAACAAAAAAGCATCTAATAGAGATAATAAAACATAATATAATGCACTAATTTAAAAGGAGCCCTGACCAACTTTTCAGTCGTTTTAGGATTTGTTTTTTCTGTGTCATTTATATAGAGAGAACTAGTGGGAAAACTTTTACACTGCAAAAACCATCTAAAAATAAGTACAAAATTTCTTAAAATAAGTGCATTTACCCTTAATTTTAGTAGGTAAATAAGACGATTTGCCAATGGAATGAGTATTTCTACTCCTAAAATAAGACAATTAGATAATATTCACTTGAAATAAGACAAAGCAATTGTTTTTTTCTTATTTTAAATGTAAATTGTCTTGTTCCATTGGCAAGTTGTCTCACTTATCTCCTCAATTCAAGACAAAATTCACTCAATTTAAGCAAAAATAACTCATACAGATTTCCATTTTTTGCAGTGTACCTGGGTAGCTGTAAGCCAAATACATCAAAACAAGCTAAACCTTTAAATATTGTGTTCTTTAAATTATGAATCTATATACTAATATTGGTTTCTTTTTCAAAATTACCCACAATTGCATCTATAAGGTATGTGTATGCAGAGGACAACAAGGTTTAAAGGACAAGTTGCAGACTGAACACTGGTAACAACCTTACCAGAAGAGATGATCTTCTGCTGCCTGATTTGTTCCTTCTGGAGGAGGTGTTGGAGCAGAGCCTGGTGACTGGGGCTCACCTTTGACTCCAAGGCTGTCTGAAGTGGCACAGGGCCCAGCAGGTGCCCGGGCAATCCATGTTTGATTTCCATTGATTTCTCCTTTAACATGGCAGCCTAAACAGAAAATTAAGGTCAGTTTTTTAGTATGTTTGTTTGCTTTGTTTGTTTTTTTTAGTATTCCAATCTAAAAAACAACAAAAAAAAAAAGAAAAGAAAAAAAATATATATATATTTATATTCATTACAAAGAGAGCAACAATGAAAATCAGCATCAACATTGGTCTTTAGCTGATAAATATTTTGTGGAATGTGCCATTAAGCAAAGGAAGATATATTGTGTGCCATGTTATCAGGAGCTGCACTTGAGAGCAGTGGGGCTTTTTAAAAGCTATGATTAATGAGGTAACAGGGGAGGATAAGAGCATGCCTGACACAAGACACTGCAGCACAATATTTATCTAAGCCCAATAAAATCATTTGGGGCTACAGGTCATTGACCTGCGGTCATAAAGAGGGTCCAAAAAGCCACTGATGGCAGGTTTTGCAGCTCCCACACTGAGATGAAAAACTCATATCCACAAAATGGCCTCAGTATTGTTCATGGTGAAAAAACTACGTGGGAAGCTCTGCAATATTTTTACTCACACTAATTGGTGTGGATGCTGTGGAGAGCCCCAAGGAGATGTTTGGTAAGGATGGAGATGTGTACAAGCTCAGCATGGACATGGAGCCCTCAGGTCGGAATAATCTTGGCTGGGAAGGCCACCTCTACATCAAACAGAGAGAAGAGAGCAAGACAGACAGATTGAAGTCTATTGACAGATCTAAAAATTCCTCTGTAGGCAGTTTTAAAAAGAAACACAAGTGGCATGAATAAAAATTCACTCTGACAAGGGAAAGCCCTCTTTGCTGTGGAATAAAGAAGATACATGCCTTTTGGAGGTGAAGGGTTTTTTTGGATCCTCACAGAATGACATAGATGCACAATCTGAAGCTTCTGCAGGTTTCTAAATTTAAATTTTAGTTCTAAACTTTTCAGATCCCACTCAGCTCACATCGGCTCCCTGGTCCCTACCTCCAGGCTAACTCTCTGAGAGAACATCAGCACTGGGGCATACTTCCTGTACCCAGCAGAGCAGCATGTGGTTTTAGAACAGCCATGTTTATCCTCCCAACCCCTACCAGTACTCAATGACCTGTGTGTGGATATCCGGCCTATATTTGACCCAAGGGACCCTTTCCCTCTGAAAAAGGATACCTAATGTAACGGTGCACAAACACTCCTTGCTTTTGCAACAGGCATGGGGTCCACAAGGAGCCTTGCAGTCCACCAATGACTTTCATGAAACCCTCGACCTGGGCCTATACAATAGCAATCCCGCGTGTTTATGTTATTAGTGAGTGGGTGTCTTTATGGCTAGCAGCGCCTGGGATATCAATTAAAATCCCCCGCTTGCCTGTCTCCCCAAGCCCCAACCTTCAGCCGGGTCTCTGTGAGGGCATCTCTCCCTTCCTTGTTTCACTGGAGGTCCCTGAGAGAGTAAACAGCAATGCAAAGGCAAACACAGCTGCTCTGTTAGATTTGCTCGGAGACGTGTCATATCTGCCACATTTTATCACATCCAGCAATGTGAGCTCTGTCTAAAGCGAGTTCTGGTCCATAACTTAGCCATGAATCATAGCAATGCACAGAAATGCAGTCTAATATACTAATAGAAACACCACAGAAAGCAAAAGAGACTCCTGCTGCTCAGCCAGGGATGGTATTTCACATTTAAATGAGAATAAATTCCCGGCAGGTTACTTCTGGAAAAGATGAGGAGCAAAAAAAAAAACATACATTTGATTACATTGATGTGTGCATGTGTAGTTGTTTATGTTCCCTATTTAGGGCAATTTTCCATATATTTGCTAACCTTCTATGGACCAACACGCTTGTGGGGACCAAAGGCTGGTCCTAATGTGTTGGACCCCGATGTCTAATGTTAGAGTTTAGGTGTAAATTCCATTTAGATTAAGGTTAGAGTTAGGAATATTCTGGTAACCAGTCAGGGTAAATGTCAGAGTTAGAAAAAAATGCAATAACTATAATGAATATAAGTAAATGTAAAAAAAAACACTATTGGCTTAAATCTTAGTAAGAGTTAAAGTCTATTTAGTATCAGAAAGTGAAGAGATATTCCATTATTACTCTACTTTCTCTAGATCAGTGGTCTCCAACCCTGGTCCTCAAGATCTACTGTCCTACAGATTTTAGATGCATCCCTGCTTCAACACAGCTGAATCAAATGATTGGTTACCTTTTCAAGCCATTCATTTGATTCAGCTGTGTTGAAGCAGGGATGCATCTAAAACCTGCAGGACAGTAGATCTTGAGCATCAGGGTTGGAGACCACTGCTCTAGATGGTCAGAGTTTCTAGGCACTTGAGTTTAGCAATCCCTATCTTCCTATATGTCAGGATTATAAATATGCTATTATGTTTCTGTAAGGCATTGACCTCTTGTCTGAACCCATATGATTCACAGTAAATAGGTAAACAGTAAATTAGAATTTAGGATCTTGGAGTCACCTGTTGCCCCTAACAACCACTAAACATTATGTACACGCTAATGTTTTGCAGCTATAAAGAAAATCTTTTCTACCATCAGGACCATAAACAACGGAATTTTGACAAAATTACAGAATTAAGTATGTGCTCTCGTTAAAATAGGTTAAAATAGAATTGGGGAAGTGTCTCATGTCCAATGTAGGGTATGGTGATGCTGTAGGGCTTTTTCTCTTCCAAGGAGGAGAAAAAAGAAAAGAAAAGAAAATAGGCACGACCTCAAGTACTCTTTTAAATATCAGAATTTCTTAAGTTTAAAATTCAGTGCATTCTGCCAGAAAAAGGAAAATGGATTGTTGTGGTGCCTTTCACTAAAATTATGATCCTAACACATTTGGCAAAATCCATACTAGAATGAATCCACCAGTCATAAAAATCAACCCTCTTCTGTGAGGGCCTGATTGGTCCCCTGATCTATGTCCTTTATAAAAGCTGTGGGGTGATAAGAAAAAAACAAGCATCCAGGGTGTGACCAGAGTTCTATTTGATCATGATCTAAATCATTGAGGTACGTCTTTCCATACGCTTCAACGCTTACAAACTTTAAGGATGAACTTTATACAAAATATCAAGAGCAGGACTGCTAATAATTGTGGCAACAGTGACTTTGAAGAAAACAGTTAATGTTTTTCCAAACCAAATGTATTTAAAAAATGTACACTGCAAAAGAAGTAGGAAAAGTTTTTTTTTCTTAAAATATGTGCATTTTTTCTTGAATTGAGGACATAAGACAAGACAATTTACAGTTAAAAATAAGAAAAAAACAATGATATAGTATTATTTCAAATGCATATTATCTATTTATCTTATTTTAGGAGTGAAAAATCTCATTCCATTGGCAAATCATCTTTTTTACCTACTGAAATAAGTGTAAAAAAATTTAAGAATTTTTCTTTTTTTTTTTACTTATTTCAAGATCGTTTTGGAGTGTATATTCTTTTCACAATTTTACTTTGAAATTATGCTACTGCAATGAATGATTTCAGTGCTTTTCAAACATCCTATACATGTGGTCAGGACTATATATCAGCTCCAACTGTGAGCAAGTATTTTATATATAGCCTGGTATTCATGAAGGTAAACAGGGTAAAATAAGGCATGTGGTTGAGTTGTGCCTCTTTAACGTCAGCAGAGTGTAACCAGCTAAGAGTAGCTTTGGTTTTATGGCTGCAATAACCTTATGTTTTATGTCATGTTCAAAATAATTAACCAATACTTGGATTTATGTGCTTACTTCAGTTTTTGTTGTCGTAGGCAGAGAGGATGGTCCATTTTCAGCCCCCAAGGCACTGGAGGCCCCTATGGGAGAGCTGGGGCCAGACCCAGGGGCGCTGTTAGTTGGAGCTGCATCTATGAGACATCAAGGAGGCTAATGGTTTGCTTCATCACACTCTCAGCAGTGTTCAAACATCAAAACAACAACATCAAAAAACTAAAGTTACATGAAACTATATAAAGTGACACAAAAAAGAAAAATGGTTAATTTTCAGGTTAAATGTCAGAGTAAGGCATACCCATAAGCTCTAAAGCCCTCTTCTTGTAAGGGGTAATTATGTTTCCATCTCTTCTCTTCAGCATCGGGCTACTTCTTCTCTCTGCCACCTTCTGCTTCAGTCTGGATCGTACCTTTAGGTTTGGCTCAGATGCTGCATGACAAATGACAACCATTCTCCTTAAGACTCAGATCACACAACACAGAACACAAAATCCAGGACATATGATTGATTCACAGTGTTATGTCTGAGACTATACAGCCCCAAAGCGTCAAAACCCAGAAAAGCCCAAAATAGAAATAAAGGCAAAGCTGCCTTTCAGTTTTCAGCTATATTTTGAGTGAGTCAGGATTGGACCCATTTCCACATCATCTGGACTAAATTAGGTTGAGCAACACTCGGCCCTCAAAGCGAAAGCGTCTGCTACCTGCCGCCCTGGTGACCACAGCCTGATACAGTAGCAATAGTTAAACTAACACAAAAACATGGCAGATGTTTCAGACTTCCTCCACATACCCCGTCGCTCTAATGCAAACCAGAGGTTGGAGCAAATGCACCGAGTCCAAACACACTGCCTGCATAGCCGAGTCCCTCAGTGTTGACCCATCACAATGCTAATGCAATATCTGTCAAAACAGACACATTAGTTCAAGGGTTTCCATCTGGCTTTAATGATGGTTTAAAGGGCTTTAGTAAATATTGGCATGATGTCACACTTTGGATAATCTGCTTATTTTAAAACCTCAATTCAAAAGGGTCTCATTTCATTCTGTAGAAACTGGGTCCAAACTGCCGTTCCAGGCTTTTTCACATTGAGAAGCTGATTATCAAGCATCAATCTAAAAACAACAAAAAATACATCTGATAAGATTTTGTCAAAAATCTATCTATATATATTAATTAGGATTTTATGTGATGGCCAAAAGGAAATTAGTGAATGATTGTGGGGTGAAAATAATTTATACTTTTCTATTGTATGTATTCAGGTATTTATTCTGATACTCTTAAATACAATTCAGTGCAACAGAATATAAGTCAACAAACTATTTTAGGAGAACCAAGGAACACAACAAATGGATGAGGGAGACCGTTTGGAGAAGTTTAATGAGGGTCAGGATAGAAAACAATGTCCTAAACCTTGAACATTTCATGTATCACTGCCCATTACTTTAACCGAAAGATGAAAAGAAGGAATCCATTGATCATTGAGATTTTAATGGGCCCATGGTAACTCCACAGGAGGTGTAGACCTCCAGAAACAAGTGCAAGAAGACACCTAAGAGCAAACTAGTTTGTATAACAAAAAATGTACAACATATACATCATATTGAAGACACCATTCATGGTGAAAACATGGTGGCAGGGAAGTTTGTCAGAGATGAGGTGAAGATAGAGGGAGCTAAGCATAAGGAAACCCTGAAAGAAAACCAAGACTATAAAATCCTTGTGATCAAGGCAGAGGTTAACCATTATGAACCATATACTTTACGTCCAAGCTGCAATGATGTGGTTTATATCTAAGCATATTGATTTTTTTTCAGAATGTTGTCAGTGAAAATTCAGATTTAAATCTAATTGAGAATCTGGAACAAGACTAGACAACGGAAGTTTAGCGATGCTCTTTTATTAAATCTGGGTGTGTTTTCAAAACCTGATGGACGCCTCATTAGAAATAGGGTGGCTGTGGCATCTCCGCACCAAACGTGATACTTTGTTGTGGTAAAGCTTATATATAGCTGCCATAATCACGTAACTCCAGTATATATCGTTATGTACCTTCACCATTTAGGCTACTTTATGTGGGTTTATGAAAAAAAAAAAAAAAACTTAATAAAAATACATTTCAGATTCTTGCTGAAAATTAAAATAATTCGGAAGTCAAATGTCACATATACGGAAGAGGATTAGGGCCACTGAAAAAATAAAAAAAAGTGCGATGATTTTAAATTTTACTTAATTTTAATATGGGAAAAAAGTCAGCATTAAAGTCAGACTTTAATCTCAGAATACTGACTTTTTTCCTCAAAATTCTCACTTTTATCTCACAATTCTGACTTTTTTCCTCAGAATACTAAGATTAAAGTCAGAATTCTGACTTTAATCTCACAATTCTGACTGTTTTCCTCAGAATACTGAGATTAAAGTCAGAATTCTGACTTTGATCTCACATTTCTGACTTTTTTCCTCAGAATACTGAGATTAAAGTCAGAATTCTGACTTTGATCTCACATTTCTGACTTTTTTCCTCAGAATACTGAGATTAAAGTCAGCATTCTGACTTCAATATCAGAATTCTTACTTTAATCTCAGAATTTTGACTTTTTTCTCAGAATTCTGACTTAAATCTCAGAATTCTGACTTTTTTCTTATATTAAACAGAAATAAAATTTAAAAAGCAGTTAAATTTTTTATTTTTTTAGTGGCCCTAATCCTCTTCCGTACACATAGCAACCAACTAAAATGCTGCAGTATTTTCTGAAAAATCGCTAAAATCTATAAACAAAGTATATTCACACAGCTGTTTAAATTAGAGCTTATAGCTATAATTAAAATCGGAAATATATTTGTTATTTCAGCGTTAATAAAATGTTGGTCATAGATTAAATGGACACAGATTATGTTTATAATGTTTTAAGAGAATAAGTTTGTAAATCAAATAGCAAGCATTTGTGTCCCCCTGCTGAACCATGCTCCTGTCTAGTCATTTGGTGTCATCTAAAGGAATAGGAGACTTCCAATGAACCCTAACAAATCAAATCCCACAGCTACTTTTAGATACTCAAACAAACATGCAGAATAGATAAGCTGTTTTTTTGTGACTGAAAGCCAGAGCATAGAGATCTATTACAGTTATGTAAAGCAGTTACACAATAGCCAACCTGTTTCAATTATTTAACTGATCAATAATTAAATAGGCCTTTCTGCTTTTGTACATCATACGGTTATACATAGGAAAGAGCAACTATGACGTGGGAACACAGCAGGGAGGAGGAGATCGGTTGTGATGGTGGAAGTAGGGGGTGCGAGGCGAAGATAGTGGGTCGCATGCTGCTATTTTTAGTATTTGTCAAAAGCGGCAGAACCTTCTTCCCTAATACAGACCTTTAATCCTGTGGGTGTGAGGTAGAATAATAAAAAAAGAGTGTGCGAGGGTGGAAGAAAGGAGGCAGCAGAGATAAATGGAGAGAAAACGCTGTTGGGAGTCATATGAATTTGCTTCACGCCCTGCCACCTTGATTGCTTTCTATTTTTACACGCCGCTGCCACCAAGCTTCGCATCCCAATTGGTCGCCACGGGAATGCCAGACAGCAGCGCATGAACAAACACTTTCTTACAAGTCTCTAGGGAGAAATAATCAAATAAAAATACATTGGTGCATAGTAGGTGCAACAGGAGGCTACAGCAAAGCACGCACACAGAACACCTGGGTCACTTCTGCAATGAAACCTCATCTAACACAAACAATATCACAATATGCTGCAATCATAAATCAAAGTCCTTATTGTCAAGCTATCTTTAGTTAATCACAAGCGTAAATGGCTGTCTCTGTAAGGGCTTCTTTATCAGAACTGGACAAATGGCTCTGTACAAAGCTTGCTCTCTGTATAGCAGAGCACCAGCTGGCATCATTTGTAAACTAATGCTCAGTAGTTTAAAAATAATGCTGCTCTTTATCTTTCAGACGCAAACATAATAACCAAAGTTGCAGGCCCTCGCAAAGATAACAATTTCTGCTTAACTTTTGAGACAAAAGAACTGCCTAATTCATGTTAAGTTCTTCTCTATTTAGAGAGAGATGTTTTTGTTTGCTTTTTAAGACCATCAAATACTACCAACACAAACAGATTAACTAGTGTCAAGTCTTAAAATAAACAAATTACCAATCTGGGTAAAACCTAAACTGAATAAGAAGTATCTTTTTTACAAGCAGTCTGTTAAAATTGAACAAACATGAACGTATCTATAAACAATGTAATCAATAAATAAATATTTAATTATTAGCTTAATAAATATTCTTAAAAAATATATTAAAAATATTTAGGCCAAAATTTAAGCATTGTTGACTTAAATATCAATGAATTGAACTTCTAGACTCGCGTACCTGCCCTTCAACCATCCCCGCCCTGACTTCTCTACAGCTTACATGTTAAAGTCATCTATTAAAAAAAAATCAAAGCACAATAAACCCATATGCAATTAGAAAAATTATTTCCGTACACACATCTGGCAAAAAGTGAACAGTAACAGCAGACCTCTGAACAGTCCTCCAGTGCACAACGCAGGTCGCACTCAGCAAGCTAGAATTATCGCATCTAACGAGGAACCTGACACTGCAAAAACCCATCCATCCATCTTCTCCCGCTCAAACTGTCAGGGTTGCGTTGGGGCTGGTGCCTATCTCAAGCAGTGTATGGTTAAAAGGAGGGATAAATCCTGGACAGGTCGCCAGTCTGTCGCAGGGCAACATAGACCATGCACACACACTCACAGCTAAGTAATATTGGAAGAAGCCAATTAACCTAAAAGTCATGTTTTTGGACTGTGGAAGGAAGCCTGAGTACCCGAAGAGAACCCATGGGAAGAACAAACTCCATGCAGCAAGACTGCCGGCTCGGAGGTCAAACTCACAACCTTCTTGCTGCAAGGCAACAGTGCTACAAACTGCGCCAAAACACCTGTGACAGATTCTGAGGTTGAGGCTAGGATCAGGGGTAGTGCTAGCCATTTTGGGGGCCCATTTGTAAATAAACAATTATACTGTATTTTTCAACCTGCTTTTCTTCATTTCCAAAATAACTACTCGATATTAATGGTTTGAAAACAGCCGCAATAAATAAAAAGAGAGATGAAAATCCTAAAAAAAAAACATTGAACTACTTTTGCACCAATAATGGTGCCAATATTTCCACGCAAGATAAATGTGTTTTATATCATGGTTAAAAATGAACAGAGACAACAGTTTAAAACAGGGAAACAAATAAAGAATAAGATTTAACATAAAATTCAATATTTTTCTCTTATATTTGTACGACATTTAAGGGAGTACCGGCACTTAATTTTCTCCACTAAAAGCACAGATTCAATCCATTGTGAATAGAGGAATTTAAATTTCCTCAAATATTACAATTTAAATTACATGGCAACATTGCTATATAAGTATCACATCAGTGCAAAGACTAACATCCCACCTCTTAACAGTTGAAAAAGATACTGGTTCAAGCTCAGATAGTATATAAGATAAATTATACAATCTAATAAATGTATTTAGGACATATCTTTTGCTTTTCATTGTAGGACAGAAAATCCTTTCCGCACCTGCTTAACACACATTTTTGGTAAGTGGGTCAAGACCAGAGCGGAGAGGGGTGGGTTATGTTGGGGGGGGGGGGCACAGCTTGTGCTGCTCAGCCACAACTATTCTTACCACAGACTATCACATGCTGTCAGCCAAGTCTATTCTAATTTCAGGAATTGAAACAAAGAGGATATATATACAGAGTTAACATGTTAATCACATAAAAGACTTTAAACTGCTTTCTGGGTGTGGGAGATAAGCCTGAGAGGGTCTCCGATACTTGTCACTCATAGGGATACTTATTAAATATAGAAAACTAGGTATGTATGAGAAAAGATCAAGGCGAAGATCAAATATTCAATTTAAAACACTAACCAGCTAGCAGATCAGAACTTATTCTCTAATACTAAACAGCTTGATTAGTTGACCATAGTTATCATACTCATTTCTATGTTTTGAAGGCTTTTTCTAAGCTTTAAATTCTTTAGTTGGTGCATGCTCCTCATTTGGGAATCTTAGAGTCATACAGTGAAGGTTTTACTCAATAATCTGGTGCAATGAAGTAGTGGGGAGTCTGACATAAAGCCTTCTAGGTCACCTCTACTTTGTTTGGAGAGAGCTATCTTTCCTTAAACAAACAGTCCTGTCAGGGTTCATTCTGCCTGTGCCAGCTCTAAGTCTGCAACACCTGCCAATCAGTTATGGGTGACAACCGATGGCTCGGGGAACAAAACTAGCCTTTGTGTGCGTCCCCTCTCTCGCGTGCCAAACTCTCAGAGGACTGTAATAAAGATCGACAGGAAGTGGGGGAGGACAACCCTGAGCAGGAAATGACCACATATAGATTCAGGAATCCACAGAGTTAAAAGAGTTTTATCAGTGCATGAGGTTAATGCAGAGAAAACCGCACATTTTATAATTCTCAATTAAAACAAAGTTGTTAAGCTTTTACATCGATACAGTTCAATTGTAATTAAATCAAGTCTATAGATTCCTATATTAAAGAGGAAAAAGGATTGCAAATCCCAGTTAGTTTTAAATGGCATGAATAAGTGTTTTGGAAGGGAAGCACGTGGGGAAGAATCAAACAAAAAAAAAAAACAGATTGAAGATTTTGTATTTACCTTTCTATGATTCAGTTCTGCTGCACTGTGATATTATTTTTCCCCTATATAATTCCTCCGCTTGATCTCCAGATTGTGCACATACACAAAATGACAGGCCTGAAGCTTACTAACTCAACAAGTACGATATTGTTTTTCCAGGTAATTAACAGAGACGGGACAGGATGAAAGAACATAATATAATTTGGTGACCTCATTGCAATATTATGAAGTTTTTACCCCTGCAAGCCTTTACACCCATGAAAAGAAAAAAATCAGAGGGATTGAACGAAAGGAATTATTCTTATTTGCACAGCCATCCCAAGAGGATACCCGTTAAATTTTAAACCAACAAACCTGAGCTGCTTTCTAGTGGATATTTCATACTTATATTTTCAGGACAGTTTTTAAGGACCATAACTCAGGAGTAAATATTCTGCCTTAATTATCCAATTTTGTTATGGACTGCTTCAAAGAGCCTTTGAACTATAGTTGATCATTAGCATAGGGACATTAACACAGCCACATTTTAAGGCCAGGACTAGGGGTGTAACAAGATCTCTGGTACAAGTTTTCTTGTGCATCTATCCACCAACTCTCTGAGTTACACTTTGTTTAGTAAAATAAGGCTATCATTAGGTAAGGGGTTTTTTTGTTTGTTTTTTTTTGTATCTGTCTTTTATTTTAATGTTAGGAAGTAAATTCAGCAAAAACATCACTTTATCCTTCATCACTTTAAAATCAACTGAGTGGAAGCAAGTTAACTTAAAAAAAGAAAGAAAAAAAGAGGACTTTGGTATCAACATGGCAAATATTGATAACAAACATTGCCATTAATCATTGTCAAATAATCATATGTGAACATGACATACTAGGGCATGCCATACTGGGACTTATAACGTATTACAACAGTGAAAATGAGGTGTAATTATAAAACAGTTTTAAAGTGCTAAAAAAAAAGGAAACTGTTCATTTTTCTGGAATGATTTCCAGATGCTGACATGTATGTATTTAGATTTTGTGTTAGTGTTCTGCTAATGTGTCGAATAACAGACCTGTCTTCCTCAAGGGAAAGTCGTCCTTGCTCTCTATTGGTGACGGCAGAGTATACTGGCAGGTGGGGGACGTGCCGCCCAGAGGTGGAGAGCTTTGGTCCAGGGATGCGTGGTGAGAAGACCTAATAAAAGATGGAAAAAAAAAGTTTTAACAGGCAAAAAATTGAGCTAAACATTGAGCTTCTCTTCTAAAGGGAACAAAGATCACTCACGTGTACCAGAGTTTTGAGTGTTGGATAAAAGAGTGAGTGGCTCCATTAGTGACAGGATCCTTTGCAGATTTGTTTAACAGAAACTCTTGGAGTTTCTGCTTCACTTCTGTGCTGGCCACTGCACCTGTGAGACCAAAAGACAGAACCAAAGGGATTGGGGTTACCCTAACATGTATACACCTGGATCTGCATCATTTTTAATGAACATATGCTGTTAAAAATATTTCATACTAATTTCTAAAAAGCAAGACTATATTCAATATTTTTCCCACGATTTTTCTCTGATTCCAAACTGGGAACCCTCTCCTTTCCTGAGAAGGCCACTAGTGTAGGAAGATCCCCCCCTAGTGGTCAAAGGGCACAATAATGTTTCTGCATAATGTGATGCTGCAGAGTTTCTTCCCAATCAGATGGTTAGAGTTGCAGAAAACAGCCTCACATTACCTGACTTGGCAAAGACATAAATCTCATCTATTATTAGCTATAAGATGAAAACAGTAATGAAATGCTATACGTAGCCCTATTTTCGTCATGCTATTGGAAGACATCTTTTTTCCTAAAATTGAGCTTTAAAGGTCACTGAAGAGCTAGATGTAATTTGGTGTTAAATAAGCACCATGTAATCTTCATTATAACTGATTATCCAGGGCCCGAAACTCTAAGAATCATAAGACAGTTTGATTTGCTTTTTAAAAATCTCTTCTACAAGAGCAAGAGACATAAAAAATTAACAGTCTGTCCTCGTTATGAATGGCAATGAAATTAGTCTAATTTTTTTATTGCTTGGAACCAAGTCCAGTGCAGTTGCAAATTAGGCTCCTTTTCAACCCTGTCACTAATTATAATTGTGATTTACTTGAAAATATCCAGTAATTATGAAGATGCAGTCTCAAACACGAACCCTGCTTTCTTAAATTACTCTGTGGCCATGTTAAGGAGTGATTCCATCCAAGAATGAATAAGTATCTGCTTTTACACAGTTTTTTGATATAATGGGTACAAATAACAATCCAAAATACATGCACGGCCAAATGCAAAAGTTTAAATTGATACGTATTTGAGAAATAGAATTAAGGCAAAATTAGAAATGTTAATTCATGACCCGCTGTTATTTTTACTTTCTCCAATGGAAAAAAAACCAGAAAGGAACATTTTACTGGAATCTACTTATTCCTGTCAACCTTTATGAATCAGCGTGATCTGATATCCATTAAAGATCTTTGAAAAGGTTATGCTTGCTTTTGATGAGGGCTGTTGCTTTGGTTTTATAAAAATCTAGCTCCTGACGGCAGGGAAAGTGTGACGATGGCGGTGCCGAGCTCTTACTCTCTCTGGAGCGCTCCTTGCCCCTGAGGCTCAGGCTGGAGACATGGTGCTCTCGTCGATGCCTCTCCTGCTCTTTTTCCTGCTGGTTCTGTTGTTGCTGTTGCTGCTGCTGCTCCAGTCGGCGCTCCTTCTCAGCGAGTTCCTGCTGCTGCTTCATAGCCTGGAGCTCCTGCTGGAGCTGGTAAAAAAAAAAAGCATGAATAGAAGTAATTGTAGAATGAAAGAGGCTTTTAAGGGTTCTTTTTATTTCTATTTTGCTGCCGAACACAATGTTTTAGCTGAACATATTTTTATTAAATGTTAGGCAGAACCTTCAGTCCTACTGAGTTGTTTCTTTTTTGCTGCACTCTTTTAATGCCTGTCCTTAGGTATGCGTTTTTATTGCTTCTGCACTATGTCATGCTGTGCTGCATTCTGTTGTTTCTGTTGTCATGCTGACCAGCATACAACTGCTCTGTGCAATGCTAACCTTGAGATGCTCCTGGAGCTGAGCCTGGTGCTGACGGGTCAGCTTCTCGTGCTGCTTCTGGAACTCGCTGATCAGTAGCTGCTTCTGGATCTGCTGCTGTTTCTGAATAAGGAGCAGTTCCTGCTGGAGCTGCCTCTCCCACAGTCCGGGGTCTGAACCCGGCCCCAGCATCCTCAGGTCTGTGCGCAGGTCCAAAGGGGACAGGGGCTCCACAACCAACGGCACGTCTGGCTTAATGTCCACTGTGGTACAGAAATGGGACAAAACATTAGATTTTTATTTTTACTTTAACTATAATTATTTCAAATAAAAGATTATAGGGACATAAAATGAGAACATCCACTGTGAGAAAGAATATTTTCTCTCCCATGATCCTATAAAGCCTGAGATTATAATAGCCCCTATAAACAAACAGTGTCACATCCGTCATTTTAGAGTCCACTGGGGGCTGCTGTATGCTTTACCAGACTCACCAGACATGTAGCATGAAACGTCAAAGTGGTCATTTAAAATATTTACATGAAATCTGTTTTTCCCACTGATAGATAAACAGATGCAAGAGTGCTTCTCTCTGTCTGTACAGAACATCCTGCAGATATGTTCCTCATCTGATTAATAATTCATGTCAAAAAACAGGCCGTGAACCTTGTCTGTAAAATCATGCACTGTATGCTCTTTCCATCTCTGTCCTTCAGCACAGACGATGCACATTGGTAGGAAGTGTGTCTCTATTATAGGTAACTTGCCTGATTCAAAGTGACAGGGCATCCCCCATTGGTCTACAGTCTCTATATATAGCCTGTTCTGCATAGAAAATCAATGCCCAGTAAAGAATGTGGGATACAGAATTACTTCATCTTGATCCTCCACAGAAGAAGATCAGTAACTATTCTATATTTCCCACATCCTCTCAATACTTTTTCCTCTAAATCACAACACTGATCTCATCTGACCTTATCCTACTTATTATCACATGCATTTATCTGCAGAATGACCTCTTCCAACTAATTTAAGGCATTAACCAGGAGGTAATGTTAAGAGTCTGGCAAGTACCTACATGTTTCAAACTTTTTCATATCCTTTAAGATTATAAACTAGAGTCTTTACTATTTTATTTATATTTCATGCATCCGGGGCAACACAAAGAAGAGAATAGTGAAATCGAATGAAAATGGTTGATCGGGTTCTACATTTTTCATAACATGAAAAGTATTGTGCGGCTTTGAACTTAGGTCACCTGTATCAACACAAGGTACCTAGGATGAGTAATATTGTACTGTTCATTATACGAGATTAAAAAGTGTGATTGCTTTATATTGATGAACCTACATCGCCACCATTCCTTCCATTATATGTCTACAAACACCACATTGACACGTTAAAATATGACTAACACCAATTAGGCTGTACTCTTTAGCAGTACAGCTGCACTTAGTGATGTAAGAGGTGAAGTGAAGAGTCCTCTCTCTTAAAGCACAAGTTTATCTCCGAGTCAATTATGCATATGCGATAATCTGAGTGAATGTAAAGAGATTTATAGCAGAGGCACAAAGACTGATGCTGTCTTATTTGCAGTTTTTATTGCAACCACCTGTTGCTTCTTTTACAGCTGCAAGACATCTGAGATATGTTAATTTGTAAATCTTAATATTGCATTAACCTTTTGATTAAACCTATAGCTCAGACGTAGCTTGGATAGAGAGCATGCTCCAGGATCTACCACCCTAATAGGGTGCTATAGAGTTATATTTGGACCTGGACTTTGACTAGACCATACTAACTCATGAGTGTGATTTGCTCTAAAAAACTGATTGTAGCTCAGGCTGTTAATGTTTGGGGTCCGAAAACACCTCTACATGAAGTTAACTCTCCCCACAGTATGATGAAACCACCATATTTCACCAGTCTCATGTCTTTTATGGCCACTAACATGTTTTCTTTCAGGGTTTCTCTTAAATTATTCCACTTCCATAAACCCCAAACTGCTTCCCTATCCAACCAACATTTTCCCATTCGAAACGCTCCACTCAGGGGGGATGTTAACTGGTTCTGGAAAATGTAATGTTTTGTTTTGTTTGTTTTGGAGTTTCTTTCTGTCTTTAATCTCCATTAACAAAGCTCCTATCCCTTCAAAGAACAGGTGTATTCATATTAAGCTTACCGGTAGCTAACACAGAGTTGGACTCGCTGTACTTTTTAGGTCAATTCTGTTGTCACTTAGTTGCAGTGATATTTACTTAGGGCTTACAAAGTAAGGGAATGAAACACAGGTGTAAGGCACACTTTTGATTTTTCAATTTGTAAAACAATACAACACTAAACGTAAAGCAAGCATCCTTTTCCATCCACCAAATAATTAGGAATTATTTTGTGGGAGTCCATTTTGAATGAAATTGATGTTTTCTAAAGCAAAGTAATAAAATATGTCTTAATACGGTAATTTTGCAAAAGCAGCATAGATCTCTGTATATATAGAGTCAAGTGATATTCAGAGAAGCACATTGCAGATCTGAAATACAGAACTCCTCCTTCATTGTGAGGCTGGACAAACATAAAAAACCTTAAATTTCCAGCACCTAGATGGACATTTATTGAATCCTTTCAATACCTTAATCTCCTCAAATGGACAAATCAGAGAGACTATTAGCAGCCCCACAACCCCACCTGTTACTGGAAGAGCTAAGCATGAATGAATGAATGAATGAATTAACCTGTTCCACATATGTCAAAACAGAGATCTAAACTTGTAACCTGAAAGAAAACAGTGCTTGTGAAAAGGCAGAAAAGCAGTGTCCTCCTGCTCCCTGATGACGGGAAGCTCACTGGTACCCATTTGTTTTGCTGGGTTTTTTTTAGCTCTGCCACCCTTCCATGTGCATGCGGTGGTGACGAATAAAAATAGCAACATAAAAGCAAGTGGCGCAATCCCAGTCTGTGACAACCCCCCCTCAACAAACACACACACACTCCCCAGTATCCACCACCCTAACTTGCTGCTGCCATGGCAACGCCGGCGACGTAATTATGTCCCCCTGTTCTGCGAATATCAAGTCTCACTGCATGTCATCTCCTGCCTACAGTTTATATCAGCTTTTTCAGCTCTTATATAAGAAAGGAGTCCCAAGCCGGAGACAGAATGAGAGGAGACATTAGAAAAGCCTCCAACAATTCAGAATCAAACGGGAGAATGACTTAAAACATGTTCAAAAGAAGTGCAGAAAACCAAAGGGACTCCGGCGCTGTCATTTTCTCTCTCTGTGATCAAAAAAACAACTTCAATCAGTTGACAGAGAAGGGCAACAACATGGCAGACGCATTGAGCAGGCACCTGTAGAACAGGCACTTCCCTCCTGACAGGGAATATTAATCTTAGCGTGTAAGTACTTGACAAAGGAGCTTTTTGTAAAGGGTGCTGCGAACCTGGGAACCTCAGCACGGCTCAGGGAGTCAGACAGCCTTAGCACTACTTTTGCCTAATAGACCCAAATATAGCTCCCCCACCAAAGTCAAAAAAGAAACATTAAAAAAAAATTAAAATCCCTGCTGAGAGATCTAATTAAGCTCATATTTCCCTCTGTATCCTGGCGGTGACTGGCATTAAGGATCTCCACTTTGATCGGCATGTCAAGCTGAGCCTCCATCAGAAAATCTCTGTTTGGTGCTTTAACATAAGGGGAACGATTCAATAGCCTGTGCATGTTCTATTACCGCCTGCTTAACGTTTACTCTGAAGATAATCACTGTTGTGGCAACAATAAAGGTTTTATCTAAAGTTGCATGATTTTTTTAGTTTTCATTTTCATGGCTAACATTGCAACATGTATCTTTGTGCTTCTTTGTGTTTTGTTCAAACCACACAACACATTAGACTTGAGATCCTTCCAACCAACAGCTTATTGTAATTCAAACTGGACTTGAACTGAAATCTGGTATTCCTTTATTATAAAAATACCCCACAGGCAGAGTAGAATGCGGAACTAGCAGAAGCTGGGGCTAATTTTAAATGTTTTTCTGAGCAGGGTCTTTATATAGACGACATGCAAAAAAAGTGTCACAGTTTTGAGGCCGCCCGCTCGATTTAACACCGGCAAAAATAAAACAGGGTGTCAGATTTATGTAACTTTACTCATTTTTTTTTTTTTTAAATCCTCGCTCGATAGAAAAGTCAGCGTCCTCTGGGACAGTGATCCAGTGTGTGACGTTTGACCCCTACAGGGAACATTTTATATCGGGCGCCTCTTGCTTCGTGGAAAGTGCGCAGGGTTCTGTAGGCATTGGTAAACAAGAGATTTATGAATGACAGCTTCCAAATTCGTTTTTAGCACAGGGGGGAGCAACATGTGCCCCGTACCGTGCCCAAATGCCTCCCCCAGCAGAGGTCCTGCCAAGGAGGATATAGGGTGACTCATTGCCTGTGACCACACTCCCACTGCAGCATCGCACCACCAGTGTCCCCAAAGTGTTTATTCCTATAACCAATCTGCCTCTCATTAGCCCTTCTGGGGCTTAGAGTGACAATCTCAGCCTTAATTTAAGATGTTGGATAGCTGCCTTTTTTTTGCCTCAGACCACATTAGCAAGTTCCCATCCAAGACAGAAACACACATCACAAGAGGCACAATCCACATGAGGATGGCTGGAAGGCAACATTTACCCGCTTTTATGAAGCTCAAGTATCATTGTGCCTCTCTGAATAAGACTAGATAATAGGAAATTTGCTAGAAAAAGGGCAAAGGTATTTCATTTTAGACTCTTGGATCTATGATATGAGCTTTTTACAGTTATATCTGTAGTTTCTGCTAAAAAGGAAAATAATTCTGGGATTATTTCTCTAGTTTGAAGCAGTAAACTTTCGATATTAAACAGAGATGCACCACTAAGCTGGGGGTTTTTTTGGCCAATACCAATTTCTGATATTTTTTGCCACTGGCAAACCAATTCTAATGTAGACCAATTTTTTTTTCAATCAGATTTTCGATTTTACAAAATAATAACTGAACATCTAAAAAACAGTTTGCATTTAAGCATCAATATCTAAGTATTTGATATTCATAACATTTAAATCTCAGTGATGAAGATTTGCATTAAAGAACAGGTAAAGAGAAATTGAATTCTTAGCATCTACCCTGCCAGTGAGAGATTACAGCCACCTGAGGAACAACAAATGGCTGATTATAGTGTCTGATTCAAGCATTTCATTAACATTAACTACGACGAGCATTTCCTAGAAGGTGTGTTAGCATAGGGCAAAACTTAAATGTGTCATTTGAAACGTTTTTTTGTTTTTGTAGCCATGTTTCGATATAACAAAAAAGTGAAAAGGTTTCAAGGTATTTCATCTTCAGTAATTTTAAATGAGAACATTTTAAAGGGAAGCTAATTTGTAGTGCTATTATGTATTTTTAGGTATCCTGGAATAAAAGTAACATAATAAATTGAGAGTATCTAAGCTGAATGCATGTTAATTTTTTATGTTTTCCATAGAGATTATGAGAACACTTTGTTATGCTGTAAACATGCGTGTATGTGAGCATTTCAACTGAAACGGAGAGGGGCTGCTTATCTAAATTCCCCCGTCTGCCATTATAAATAGAAACAGAGATACAGAAGATGTTTGAGGGCAAAAAAATAAGCCGATGCTTGGGACTGCAATGTGGTGCTGGATCTCTCATTAAGTGCCTTGTTATTTTGAGCAGCTGGTATGTCTAAAGCAGGAAACAGGTCTTTATTTTTAAGACTGCAGGCTCGTCCTTGCAGCTGAGCCAGAGCTGTGGTTAGGAAGGCTGTCTGCTAACAAAGAGGGCCAAGCAGAGCCACCATGAGCCTTTTACTGAAGGAAGCCAAGCATTCAGTTGTCTCCTGTCCTGCTGTTACCTCTAATCGCTTACAGCAATAATAGAAAATACTATTCATACTGAAAAATGAGGAAAGAGAACTAAGTAGATGACTAATAACTGGGGGATTTTTTTTTTGGACCTTGCTTTGTTCTGTAGTAGTTTTTTTCAAAGGTTAGGTTGGAACATCAACAAGTTTGGTCAAAAATCCAACAAAAAATAACTTCAAGCATTCCTTTCTTTTTTCTTTCTTTTTTTTTTTGAGTTTTTAGGGCACCAGAGACATGCGGCAAAGGACCACAGGTCGGATTCAAACCCGGATCGGCTTCATCGAGGACTAAGGCCTCCGTATATGGGTCATGCGTGCTAACCACTGCACCACCTGCATGCCCGTCCAAGCATTCCTAATTCGTTATATCCAACAGCAACAGTTACACCAACATAATGGGCTTAAAGGTTGGATACTCAACCAATAATCTGGGCCACATGTCTCTCCACAGTTTTTTTCCTGTTCTTTTTTTGTTTTTGTTTTTTTGCAGGTGAGAGGCTGAAAACTTAAGTCTCCAATCCAACTTTAGCGTAAAACAGAGACTTCAGTAAATTCCTAATCAGTTTAAAAATAAAACAGATAATATTTCCATTTATAGAATTCCATGAACCACAGAAATCCTTCTGACAGGAACAAAAAGCTGCTACCCTAGCATTAACAGCTGAGAACTATGCTATTCTAAGGATGAACAACAGGAAGAGGAATTTAGAAACATCAAAAGTATTTTTAGCAGCTTTTTTGTCCTCTGAGCCTCTTCAGGCTTAAATTATGTAGTTTCCAGGCAGTACTGACACTAAAACCTGTCCTCTGCATGTTGTTTTGTACCATCTCGTCTGTAGTAAACACTTCAAACGCACACTTGATGAATAGATCCAGGATGCGGAGAAATAGACTTAAAAGGTGCTGCATTGTTCCTCTATGAAAGGTCCCTTTTTGTGAAATTAATAAAAAGCAGCAACACATTAGTTTCTCCCTGTTTGAAAAACCACCTGAGGATTGTTCTTCTTCAAACTAAACCTCAATGTTGATGCTAATGAAAATAAAATCATGATTAAGCCCATCTATTCTTTGACGAGGAGTGATAAAAAAGAAGGATGAGAACTGTGCAAGAGACAAAGCAAGCACACATGCATTAATGTCTCCACATGCTCTATTTATGGTGAAATAAAAACATAATAACAGAGAGAAGAAGATCAGAACCTAGTTAACTCTTAGTTTTACACAGAGAAATATTTCTGTGCCGATCAGATCAGTCACAGTCATGTGGTTTGTTTTAAAATGGAAAGAACAAATTAAAACAGGCAAACGTCAGATTTCTCTATAAATATCTGTTCTGAGGCGCTGTTATATCAGGAACATGCAAGATGGAATGATAACGCGCACAGACGACTAATCTTAGCAGGCTAATGCCATAAGCTGAAAATAACTCACCTAAGAATAGCTGACCCACAGAATAAGCAAGGAGTCTGAATTCAAAGTGCTTGCACTCTTTATGTCTTGTTTTGTTCACAAGTGCTAAAAAAAATAAAATATTTCCATATTATATAGCTTGATGGTTAAATAACCTGCCATACAGACAGCCATTAAACATGTCATCACTCTATCTTGTCTTAAACCTCTTCCATAAACTTTTTTTTTGCTATAAATGTTTAGAGACATTAAAACAGCAGCTACAAGGTAAAAAAAATAAAACATGTAATAAGTCAATAAAAACTTTGCACCTTTTTCAATTTTAGTTTTAAGTGATGCAACTAATTCTTTCCCACAGAAAACAGTTTCAACTGTGACATAATTTCTAAATCTCTTAAGTTTTGTCAGCAGCCGCATAAACAGAAAAAGCAAAAAATCAAATGAAGTGTGACTCATGTTGCTCTTGAGTCAATACAGTAAATAGATGTTGCTCATCCTGATGTCAGCCTTGCACTCTTCAGTTCAGATCCTACGCCCAAAATAGAGCAGCTAGTTAGTAAGTGGTAAATGTTCAGATATAATCCCCCCAGCATTCAGTATTCCTGTAACTTTCCTCCCTGTTCACTGAAACACAGTGCATTGAGTCATTCCTCTGAGCTGCATGCAAGGGGAACAGAGATAACTCAGTTTCTCATTTAAGTCAACATGCACAAAAAGCACTTATTTTTATGCATCACGCCAGAACCTGCCTATTAAATGGAATCCATACAAAGAAAATACCTTGATTCAGAAAAAAGTTTCTGCTCCAAGTGGGCTGAGACGTCTCACGAGGAAAAAAGCGCACATGAGTTGAGAGAGGGAGGGAGACAGATGGAGTGGATATGTGCATGAGAAGCGCAGAGGTTTGGAAGGGGGAAAAGCGAAACAGGAGGAAAAACAGGAGGATAGAGGGGAGGGTGGGAGTCCTCAGGATGAGCGGAGCGGGAGATCACCTGAGTTGTTCATGTTGTGCATCTTGCTCTGGTTGGGGAGCTGCTGCTGTCCAACGCGCCCCTCTGTTACGCAGAAACTTGACTCGCCCTCGTAAATCGTCTGCAGCATACTCCACTCAGCGCTCAGGTCTCATCGCCAGCCTTGCGTTTCCTGTCACCAAGAGCCACCCCTCAGCTGCTCAGGGGGGGAGAGAGACTCTCTCCCTTCCTTTCTCTGCCTCCTCCTCTGAGGAACAGGATCTGCACCCTCTGTATCTCAGTCCTGCTTCAGTCTGATCCAAACACAAAGTTTGGAGCAAGGCAGAAGCAGGTTCTTCTTCTGTGATCTGATTAGATCCCTGCGCGTCTTTTCTCTCACCCCTCAAAGTGTCCAGGCAGAGAGGAAAATGTGAAGCTGAGTTGCAGGGAAAGCTGTGTGTTCTGAGCACCTAGTGGAGGCAGCGATGCAAGCCGAGGAGAGAGAGAGAGAGAGAGAGAGAGAGAGAGCTTCATTTGCATGTGAATCAACAACTGTGGGGCTCACAGGTGACAGAAATAGAACAATGGCCAGCCCTGGCTATAAATAGGTCAGGCGCGGCGCAGGGATTGGAGCAGCATTGATGCGTTTAAAAATACCACACCAAACACAGCTGTCTTCTTCAGCTTCTGCCAGAAGGCATGTCTCCTGACTCGCTCTCTGCAGATGGAGGCATGAATCCTCTCCCTGTCTCTCCTTTTCTGATTTGTTGAACCAGTGTCTCTCACTCTATTTATGGCTCTGTTCGAAAACCTAGGACGGGTCCTTCAAGGACGCGGTCTACCTAGACTGGATCCTTCGAAGTCCTTGAAAATAAGGAGACCGGAAGAGTTTTGGCTGTAAATTCGACCAGGTCTACCCTTTGGCGGGTTTTACCGCCGTATGCTCTGTTGCTTAGCAACCGTGAACGTTGACACACAAAGCAGGAAAAGAATGAATACAGAAGTTTTCAAAACTGTTTATTTATTTCTTTTTTATTGTGAAGTGAACAAAGACTACACTCACAAGAATCCAGAGTGGAATAAAGGTTCCAACCACCGGGAGCAGGAACAAATAAAATCAAATGTAATGATAGAAACCTTAGTCAGTTAAATAACCTGCTGCTGTCATTCTGCACATCTCTGATGCTGCTGCTATTTTCAAATATCCATTACTGGAAAAATGTCCATAGCTGCATATTGGTTATTTATTCCCCAGTTTTATATTGTTAAAACACTTTACAGTATTTTATTGTTTATATTTTCTCTTCCCTATTATGTTATTCTTATACATTTTTCTAAGGTCCTCATTTGTGTGACCATTTTCAATAATCTTTCTGCTGCTGTAAATTTTCCCATTGTGGGAAAATAAAGGGATTTTCTATTTTATTCTATAAAAGGGGTAGAAAGATATAAGTAAATCTAAACAATATATGTATAAAAAATATATCTGCAAAATCTCTAATATTCAACAACAAAAAATACGAAGTTAAGCATATTGTGCAAAATAGCAATAAAAAGATAAAAATCCTATCAGATTTATAGTCCCCACACTGCAGATATATTAGAATCTGTCCTTAAATTACAGCCAAACCCATTTACACAGTAACAGATAAAAACCTTTAGATAAATCAAACATTACCGCCACATATCTGACTCTATAACCATTAAAACAACTATTTTCATTCATTTCAGACGGAACTATTCACTGACTGGATTATATTAAACTGAACTTCCAATTTTCACCACTGTTCGGCGCCAAGTAATCTTTCCTCTGATCACGGCTTGCTTGGTCTCGCAATGAATCCTGGGATATCCAAGAGTCCCGAGGATACATCGGACCCGTCCTTCAAATCGGGCAAAAAGAAGGACGCATTTTAAGGCCGCATAACGAGGACTCTTGGAATCCGACCAGACCTCGGCGCCGCGCTATGACGTAATCGGCCTTCGAATCCGGTCTTCTAAGGATGCGTCCTAGGTTTTCGAACAGAGCGTATGTCTCTGTTTTGTTCTCTCAGGTGCAGGGGATAGGAGGAGCCTTGATGTTTCCAAAAGAGAGAAAAGGCACCTTAACTTCACATGTGCATGTTAGGTCACAGGTATGTATTTATGTTTGGGGAAAGAAAGGCAAAATTGGTGGTATGAGAGGAATCTGTTCAGCCACTGATGGAGAAAATGTTCCTTTAAGAAAGGTGTAACCCCCACTGTGCCAGCTCGGGGTATGCACAAGGTTCAGTGTGTATCCAGGGCAGGACTGGGACTCAGGAAGCATGCTTTCAGCTCACCAAAGAGGCCAAGTGTAAGATGGCATTACAGCTTGATCGTAATTACATAAACCCCTAAAACTGTGTCAAGAACAACTGAAATCCAATTCCCTGGGAATATCACTTGAAACAGTTTAATGTTGAATTAAAACACATGTTTTTACCTTAATTCATAGAAGAAAATAAAAGACTTTTAATGCTTTTCACACCCCTTTGCGTGGTTCTTTAAACTGATATCAAGAAACCAAGATCCACAGCTAACACAGTTTGACTCAGTCCTTTCAAACTCAAGTCAAATATTCAATCTGACCACTGATGCAGGGTTGGGTTTGTGGCCAAGCAGCCTGCGCCTTTAAATTTTTTCATCTTCCTTCATAATTTGACCTGTCCCCCTGCCAGGGGTGTGGAGCCAGCACGGCTATTTTTAGGTCCGGAGCTCTGACGACTGGAATACAAGAGACACAGAGAAGGAGTTTTTACTGTGTTGTTTCAGCTGGACAAACATTTAACCCCCTCAACCCTTTTATCGTTGGAAGACCACTAAGCCAAAAAGGAAATACACAGCTTGTAGTCTCTGCAGGCACAGAATAACCCTAACCTTAATGTATGACATGGACTATTTGATTGCTGTCTTTATATAAACAAGCTCTTGCATGTTTAGTTTGTATGGATGTTGATTGTTGAGGGACTTGGAAGGGGACCATATGCTGCTTACCCTATATGATACAGGAAAAAAACTAAACAAAATGAGAGAGCAGAAGAAAGTATTTTCCTTAACTACAATCATTATTGTGGTGGTCAAACCTTCAGCATCACATCAGAGTTAAACAGATCTGACAAACTCCTGATCATCATAAATTACTTTGGGCTCTCATTCTGGCTGAGTTGGCGAGAGTGATAACGAGCCCTCAAGTGCATGGTAAAGATTGCTAAAGACTCAGAGCTCCATCTGTCACATTAGCTGTGACCCTGGGCTGGCCTCCACAAACACCGAACCCAACCACACAGAGGGAGACACACCACTGATGCAGCAATGTGAATAAGCATTACAATGACAGGAATTTCTGTCTCTATTTCCACAGGGGTGGGGTTTTATCCCAATGTTGCCAAGTATCAGGGTAGACCAAGGTTTTACACAATTAGAATTTAAAAACTGCCTACTATTCCTATAACTTACTGATCTTGGAGCATCAGGAGAACTTGGCGGGTGATCTGAGTTTTCTCCATCTTCGTTGAAACGAAAAATATCTGAGACATTTGAAAAAAAATGTAATAACAGCTCAAGTTACAGTATCTGTTTCAATCTCAGGATGTTAAAAAATATTATAGGTAGCAGTACAATAGAGAAGAAAGGGATTCTTAGGTTATGTCCTCAATAATTTGTATATTTTGGTATTGGGGTGGTCTGGCTAGGAAGGTTATCGATTTCAAGGTATCTTGGAAGTTAGTTTTTCATATAGTCCACACATTTTTATTAGTTCTGATTATTTAAAATGTTTTCAGTGACATGTAGGAGAATAAGTATGAGTGACCCAGGTTTTATCCGGCTTTGGTAAGCTTTGAATAATGAAATTCACCCCTTCCTAAACTTTTTCTGTGCACTGTCAGTCAGCTGGCTCAAAAAAGGCAACTTCACCTTTCTGTTGTTTGCAATGAGGAAACATGTAGCTGTCTTTAATCACTAAGACAGTCGTAGCACTGAAACTTACAAGTGCATAACAAAATTATCAACAAAGCAACCTACACATCTAATGTCTACTGAGCAGCAAATTTTAGGCTTGCAGTGAAATTGTTTTCTTTTTTTTAAGATCAACAATTTATGTGCATCAACACAAACAAAACCATTGTTTCTTCACTTTTATTAAGCAAAAGAATTCACCATTACTGTCAACATACAGTACCTTCTTGAAAATCCTCAGTCATGGCCTTCTCCATGTTCCTAAAAACAACACACTTCTCTTAGCTGCGATTAACCTACAGTTTTTGTATTTATAACTAGCTTCCTGAGGCTGATGAGGGATTGCAGGATTGGAAATAGCTCTGTCCAATAAGCAGGGTGCAGTAAACCTGCAATGTGGAAAGCCCATTATAGCCACCACTGCGTCACTGGCGGCCTTTGTCTGTGTTTAGTCCTACTAAAGCATTTAACGTCAGCATCCCTGCTGGAGAGCCACTCTGCTCTGTGCTCCAGGGGCCAGGGCTTCACCATCCATCACCTCTCTAGTATCAAACAAAAAACTCTGAGAGTTTTTGTCTTGAATTAATGCTAATAATTAAAGACTTCCACAGAAAGAGTTTTCAATGTGCAGTGCTTAAACAGTTTTTGCTGCTCTACATAATTATTGTTAAAAAGACGATAATCAGAGTGAATACTGGTATCAGGTTATGAAGGTGATTTAATTTACTAAGGGGATAAAAGCTATCTAAAGTAACCTGGCCCTATATAACTAAGTACTTCCCCCTTAAGTCTATATAACTGCTTTTGCCATCCCATTCATCACTGTAAGACCCACAATAAGGATGTGTTAGGGTGCCTTTAAAACGTTTTTCACTGTTTTTTATCAATTGTATAACCCGAGTCTACTTGAGTTATATCCAAACTGATGTCCTGCCATCCATTGCCAACTGATGGTAAGACATTCCCCCTCAGGATTACCTGCTAAATTGCAAAAATTATCGTTATATCAATTATAGCAAAATTCTCCAATTCCTAAGAAAACAAATTATCCCCAAACTATGACACTGCCACCTCCAATATTTGACTGCTGGTTTTGACTTTAGAGTCCACAGATCATCAAGACCTACAGATGTGAGGCAGGCCTTTGTTTTCTTTGACAAGTACACGTAAGGTCAACAAAGTTTAAGATATTTTTCTTGTTTTTTATTGTGACCTCTGTGATATGTTGTTGATATGCTCTTGTATTAATAATGGTAGGGCAGCCATATCAAGAAAGGCTTACCACGGTTTTGTATTTTCTCCATTTGTGGAAAATATATTTTTTTAGTGCTTCACTAGACTCCCAAGGCGTTCTTTCATGTGCCTCTAAAGCCGTCTTTGCTAAGATTTTAGTTTAGTTAGGAAATCATGGTTGTGTTTTGTGATTTCCTTTGCTTATGTGTGTTCATATCCTGAG